GCCGATGCAGGCTATCCTCCCCCTCGGCCAGTCCCCCAAACCTGCGCAGAATCCTGCCGGCCGCTCACGCAGGCCCCGCCCGCCTTCCAACCCGACCCTCCGAGCGCTTGGAGGAGGAGCAGGGGCTCGTCTTGGGCAGGCACGCTGTCTGCCCAATCCTTGCCCAGCACTGGGCGCCAGCTGACCAGCCACTCGGCAGCCCTGGACTGGTCTGCATCAGAGTAGGCGGGGGCCTGGGCTGCCAGGCTGGTGCCAGAGATGGTGAGACTGTCGGTGAGCACTGCGGAAGGGTGGGACGGGGCGGCAGGATTGTGGGAGAGGTGACCACGCTTCAGGAGCCCTGGTGCAAAGCACCCTCAAAGGTGTGCGGTGGGCAGCAAGACGCTCTCCTTCGTCGGGGTCCTGGCCTCACCGTTGCCGAACTCGGGGATGCCGGGCAGATGCCAGGCGCGGAGGGCCGCCTCGCACACCAGCAGCACCCCGCAGGCTTGCGCGGGGTTCAGGGGTGAGAAGGACGGCGTCGAGGCCGAGGGCGCCCCCCAGTTGCCCTCGCCTTCTTCGGCCGCGGCCGTGCCGGGCCCCCACACCCGGTCCCGCACCAGGGTCGCGACCAGGGGCGCCCCAACCGTGGCTGGCAGGGCCTGCACCAGTTCGCCCAGCAGGCACAGCGTCTGCGGGGTGGCCTCCTCCCACCAGGCCTGGCAGGCGGCGGGGGATTGGGGGCGGCGTGAGTGTGGGCCGGTGGAGACCGCCAGGCGCCCGGCTCGCAAGACCAGCGACTGCAGGGGATGGAGGCCTCGTCCCCCCGCCGCACCTGCCATCCCCTCCACGCCCACCGGCCCTGGCCCCAAACCCCCGCCCACCGGCCATGCCCCCCCGCGCACCTGTGACTCGAGGCAGCGTGCCAGCAGCTCCCCCTGGCAGGCGCTCAGGCTGCAGCCCTCCAGCGCAGCCAGGAGGAAGCCGAGGGCCGGCGCGGCGCCGTCTGGGGCCGACCGTGCTGCGTGGGCCCAGGCGCTCAGCAGGGCCGTGGGGGCGCGGCCGTCAGACCCCGGGGGGAACCCGCCGCGGCCAAGGAAGCGGTGGGCGAGGGCCCAGGGCTGCGCGTCAGGCGCGCTTTCCTCCAGCGCGTCCGCCAGCGCCTCGAGTGCGGCGGCGCGCGAGGCCAGGCGCGGCGCGAGCGCCGGGAGCAGGCAAGCCTCCAGGCTCTGGGCCAGGACGGCGGGCGCCCCCGGCCGCCACGCCAGCCCGAGGGCCTGCGTCAGCAGGACCTGGGCGGGGCCGGGGCCCAGCGCCGCAGACCGCTGCGCCAGCACTTCCACCACGGCCTCGCGCTCCTCGGACCCTAGTTCTGCGACGCATGGCACCGTCAGTGGAAAGGGGGAGGTGAAGGGGTGCGCGGATGGGGCTGCGCCAGGCGCACATGGCGACGCAGCCTGGACTTGGTCCGCAGACGGCCGCTCCGCCCTGCCTTTGACCCTCCCCACATGCACAGCCATACCAGGCAGTCCTCACCTGCGGTGGCCAGGTGGCGAATCAAGCGGGACAGCAGCGTGTACTGCGGGAATTGCGAGTCGGGGCAGGCCTCCTGCAACGCGCCGAGGACGGCCTCGCGCACGGGTGCGCCCCCCACCCAGCGCCGCCGCCTGTCCAGGAACTCGAGCGCCGCCGCCTGCTCCGTCGAGGCCGGGCCAGAACCCTTTGGCAGGGAGTGGTGGGAAGGGGAGTTCTGGGTGTGTTGTGAGCGTGCAGGCATGGGAAGGCTCTGCTGATACGGTGGGCACAGAGGCTGGCGATTCGCAACCCCATCCCTTCCTGTGCCGAACCCACTTGTTGCTCCTCCCCAGTACCCAAGGCTCCTCACCGAGGAAAGGGCGAGCAGGCTCGCCAGCGTGCCCAGCGCGGCCCCCGCATCGTCCTCCTCGCCCTCCTCCAGCGCCGTCTCCAGCGCATCCAGCGCCGTCAGAGTCAGCGCGCGGCGGTGGGCGGAGGGCGCGCCCAGGCGCGAGGCGAGAGCCGCGTGGGCGAGCAGTGCGGACCAGGCGCCGGCCCGCAGCGTGCGCAGCGTGCTCTCGGCCGCGTGCTCCCGCCCAGAGAAGGGGACCCTGGGGTTGGCCTCGCTGCACAGACCGGGGACAAACGTGTCCAGGGGCCGCAGGAGCTCGGCGGTGGTCTGCAGGGGAGAGCGGGGGGGAGAGGGGGCCGTGATAAGAGGTGACAGGCCAGCAGGCTGCTGGCTGTGTCGCTCTCCCCATCTTTGGCGCCCAGCTCTGCACCCAATTCATTAGAGCCGCCCACCAATGCTGCAGAGTCCTGCCTCTATACCTACTGACCTATGCAGGAATCTGGTAAGCCTGCACCGCCTGCCCAGCCCAGCAGCCCGCTCAGTCAGCACAGGATCATGCCATGTCGATGCAGCCGCCCAATCCCCCCGGTCCCCCCCCACCCCCGAGCAGCCCTCCCATGATCTCACCTGGGCCGTGACAAGGTCGCGGAGGAGCTGGGTGCCCAACAGGCGGACGCCAGGGCTGTCATCCTCCAGCAGCCTTCCCACCACGCTGTGCCTCTCTGGAGAGTCGCCGACAGCGCCAGAAGCGCAGGAGCTCCAGCAGGCCGTGAATGCATTCCTGGTAGGGTCCTGGCGAGGTGGGACAGTTGAACCATCAGCGTAGCTGCTGGAGCAGAAGCCTGAGCTGGTTTACCACTGTTGTGTCATGCATTCCTCACTGACCTGGATACATGCCCCGAACCGATGCCATGGCACTGAGCCTCCTCAACATTCAAGCGTTTCCAGGAGAGACCCTCTTCATGCGCAATCAACCCTCCGGCCTACCACTGGCCCCAAGATGAGCTCCCGTGCCAGTGTGTTGCAGAGGGGGCTGCCAAGCTCCTTAATCATGGTTCGGTAGGCCTGCACTGTAATCTGGACATAGCCGAGACGCCGGGAGGCAAGGTCCTTGGCCAGCCTCCTGGCCAGGCGCCGAGAGGCCTGTGGGATGGATGGGTGGGGTCCTAGCGTCTGCAGATGCATGCCTACTCGCGATCCGAGGTCACGAAGGCACCATACAGACTCGTGTGTCGCCGGCCTGGGCACCCAACCCCCTCCGCACCTTGGGGATGCGATGCTCATTTCGAAACAGGTACTCGCAAAGCTTCTTCACGCTCCGGTCAACCCCAGGGCCGGGGGTCTGTCCCAGGCTGGGTTCCACCTCGGCAGCTTGGAAAACACTGGGAACAAGGAAGTTGTAGCGCTTCACCGGGACTCGGGCCGCCGTGGCGACCCCCATGCAGTTGCATGGCAGGTCCATTCTCGGGCGCCTGCGCTGCTTGGGGCGCAGCTCACCCGATCAGAGATGTCCAGACCCGAGCATATCCTACAGATGAGTATGTGCAGGGCTGTGATCAGCCGATCGATGTCTGCTGTGCTCAATGGTCTGTCGAAACCTCAGCGCTTCATGCACTACGGTGATCTCAGCGCGCACGGCGATCATCCGAGCTTCCCAGTGGTGCACCCACTACTGCATGCAGCAACCATCACTGATTGTGAAAGAATTCTACATGAACTGTGTACGTGCATGAAAAGGGTAGTCTGGCTTCAAAACTTGGGGTCGACAAAACTGGCGCAGGCCGCGTCCGGCACCCACGCTGTGGCAGGCAGCAAAGACTCACCACCAGGACTTGGATTGGGCTCACACGGTGCTACTGGGGACCTCCAGGCAGATCTCCCCAAATTTCAGGTCCCGGAAGTCGCGCAGGATGCGCTGCCCCGCCCTCTCCACCTCCGCATTGAAGAGGCGCTGCGCGATGCGCTCCACATACTCCTCGCTGGTGATCCCCCCCCGCCGCACTCGGTACCGCGCCTCGATGGCGGCCCAGATTTCTGCCTCGCGCGGCAGGACGCTGACCTGGTCCAGAAAGGAGGCTGCGATGCGCGAGGCGGTGTATGCCGCCTCGCCGATGTCGTTGCACATGGCCAGCCGCGCGGCGGCGGCCTTGTCCTTCAGGCTGACCGGGATGATGCCTGAGTGAAGTGGAGTACGGGAAGGGAAGAAGATTGGGATGATGGGGCATGATTGCATGCAGATGCTGGCTCGTGGGCTGATCCTTTTGGTAGGGTCGGGAGGCCTAGAACCCCAGCGCTGCAGCTGCAGGCATGGGTGCCCGAGCCCGGCAGGCGCACGCCGGGAGGCAAGGTCCTTGGCCAGCCTCCTGGCCAGGCGCCGAGAGGCCTGTGGGATGGATGGGTGGGGTCCTAGCGTCTGCAGATGCATGCCTACTCGCGATCCGAGGTCACGAAGGCACCATACAGACTCGTGTGTCGCCGGCCTGGGCACCCAACCCCCTCCGCACCTTGGGGATGCGATGCTCATTTCGAAACAGGTACTCGCAAAGCTTCTTCACGCTCCGGTCAACCCCAGGGCCGGGGGTCTGTCCCAGGCTGGGTTCCACCTCGGCAGCTTGGAAAACACTGGGAACAAGGAAGTTGTAGCGCTTCACCGGGACTCGGGCCGCCGTGGCGACCCCCATGCAGTTGCATGGCAGGTCCATTCTCGGGCGCCTGCGCTGCTTGGGGCGCAGCTCACCCGATCAGAGATGTCCAGACCCGAGCATATCCTACAGATGAGTATGTGCAGGGCTGTGATCAGCCGATCGATGTCTGCTGTGCTCAATGGTCTGTCGAAACCTCAGCGCTTCATGCACTACGGTGATCTCAGCGCGCACGGCGATCATCCGAGCTTCCCAGTGGTGCACCCACTACTGCATGCAGCAACCATCACTGATTGTGAAAGAATTCTACATGAACTGTGTACGTGCATGAAAAGGGTAGTCTGGCTTCAAAACTTGGGGTCGACAAAACTGGCGCAGGCCGCGTCCGGCACCCACGCTGTGGCAGGCAGCAAAGACTCACCACCAGGACTTGGATTGGGCTCACACGGTGCTACTGGGGACCTCCAGGCAGATCTCCCCAAATTTCAGGTCCCGGAAGTCGCGCAGGATGCGCTGCCCCGCCCTCTCCACCTCCGCATTGAAGAGGCGCTGCGCGATGCGCTCCACATACTCCTCGCTGGTGATCCCCCCCCGCCGCACTCGGTACCGCGCCTCGATGGCGGCCCAGATTTCTGCCTCGCGCGGCAGGACGCTGACCTGGTCCAGAAAGGAGGCTGCGATGCGCGAGGCGGTGTATGCCGCCTCGCCGATGTCGTTGCACATGGCCAGCCGCGCGGCGGCGGCCTTGTCCTTCAGGCTGACCGGGATGATGCCTGAGTGAAGTGGAGTACGGGAAGGGAAGAAGATTGGGATGATGGGGCATGATTGCATGCAGATGCTGGCTCGTGGGCTGATCCTTTTGGTAGGGTCGGGAGGCCTAGAACCCCAGCGCTGCAGCTGCAGGCATGGGTGCCCGAGCCCGGCAGGCGCCATCCTGCGGGCAGACCCCTCCCTTCTCCAAGCAAGCGGACCCCAGGCCCACCGAGCCTACCCCCCCCCCCCTCCCCTCCCCCCCCCGCGGGCCCTACAACCCTACCTGGCGTGTCCAGCAGGTCGATGTTGCCCTGCTCCCCCGCCCTGGCCCAGGTCAGCTGGCGCGTGACCCCGGGGCGGGGGGCGCTGTCGGCCGCGCGCCGACCCAGCAGGCGGTTGATCAGCGCGCTCTTGCCCACGTTGGGAAACCCCACCACCGCGGCGCGCACGGCGCGCGGCCGCAGGCCCCGCGCCTCGCGCCGCGCGTTCAGCGCCGCGCCCAGGCGCGCCGCAGCCTCCTCCACCTCCCGTACCCCACCGCCGCGCCGACCGTCGGTCCAGGTGGCGGGCGTGCCCGCCTCCCGCAGGTGCCGCGACCATGCTGCGCGCTCCTCCCGCCCCACCATGTCCACACGGTTGAGCAGGAGCAGCGTGCGCTTGCCGCGGCACCACCCCGCCAGCGCCGGGTGGGCGCTTGCCACGGGCAGCGCCCGTCCCGCACCTCCACCACCAGGTCAACCGCGGCCAGCTTGGCCTGCAGGGACCGCTCCGCAGCCGCGATGTGGCCTGGGTACCACTGCACCAGGCCCACCGACTGGGGGGGGGAGGGGGTGGGGGGGGGAAATAGGCCGAGGGACAAGGGTAGATGGGTGACCCTGTCCCTAATGCCCAGGACCCGCCCCTGGTGCCCACGCCGCGCCACACGCGGCAGCGTCCGAAACCACCTCACATCTACACGACGGGTCTCCTCCACGGGGAAATCTCCATGCTTCTTCCTGGGCTGCCGACCCGTGGTGGTGGGGGCAACCTTCGCGCCCTGCACCCGCACGCTGCCTCTTCGTGGGCAGGGCCGGACGACCCCGCTATCATGACCTCGACATAGCCCAGCCCCAAGGCTGGGTCGGAAGGAGATGGCGAAGGCCGGCATGCATGCCCTGTGCCTGTCTGTCCGACCTGCGACGGTGTCCAAGGCGCCGAGGGTCGGTTTACAGCGACAGCCCTCTACTCCAAGAATGTATGGAAGTGGAGAAGCCAATGCAATTGTCAATGCATGAAAGTGACAATGATTGGTTCCGGGGGCATGGAAAGCTATGCTGGGCTCCAACGTGCGCCGCACTGTGTACAGGATCGGGCGTCGCGGTGACAGCGCGCGACGAAGAGCTTGCCTCAATTTCACGGGGCATCAGCAGCACCCAGGCACCAGCACCCCCGTAAAGGATGCGATAAGCTGGTACTTGGACCCCAGTGAAGGGTGCATTTTGGGCCGATCCCCGCGATTCCCGTCACGATCCCTCCCCAGTGCGAGCAATCCAGAATCCTGCTTGCGCGTGCTCTTCCCAGGGGGTCGACTCTGCCCGCCCAGCGAGGGGCACCCTCCCCAACCTTGCTGCCCGCGCGGCCTTTTCGCCTGGAGCCTGGGGACATCCTCACACTGGAGGCTCCACATCCCCAGGTCTTGGCGGGCATGACGCAGCTGCAGCCGGCCCCCGTGCCGCCCAGCGGAGAGCCTCAGGTACGGCGGCCGTGGACGGGGCCCACCACGCGCCGAGCTCCCCAGCATCCCCTCCCATACACCACCACAAACTCACCTCTGACCCGCACATTATTTTCGCAGGCAGTGGCTGGCGTCCCTCGACTGTGCGTGGGACCCCGTGGGTTCGCATGGTCTCTCGTGCCGTAGGGGGTCGGTTGCGGATGGGGGTCC